TGGGTGCTGCAATATCAACAGAACGCCATCTTTTCACTGTTTGTGGGATGCCTTGGAGTTTGAGCTGGGGGTGGGGGCTCTCTTTTCCTGGCCTTGGGACATCATCTCTGAGAACCTTTGCAGTGACATACCATTATTGTCATCCTGAGAGCTCAAGGATTGTGAGACTCCAACAGCTTTAGGAGAGAGAAGGCTTGTGTCTTTATTTTTCTGGTAAAAGGAGCATGGGAGAGGTGAGGATGGACTGGCCTACTCAGAATCTCACCTGAAGCTGCCAGTGGTGTGGTGCTACCTCTAATAATGTTCCAATTAATGTTGTAATTAATAATTAATAAAGTTCTAATTAATAATTAATGTTCTAATTAATGTTCTGTTAAGATTTTTCAAATTATGAGTGTCTGTGTGTGTGTGTGTGTATGTGTGCATGCATACATGTGTGCAAGTGCCTATGGTGCCAAAGGAGGGCATTGAATACCTTGGAGCTGGAGTTATAGGCGTTTGTGCAAAGCTACCTGATGTGTTAGGAACTGATCTCTGTTCCTCTGTAAGAGCAGTACCCACTCTTAATCATAGGGCCATCTCTCCAGCCCACTAAAAATGTTTTAAAAGAAAAAAATTTTAAAGGGGCAACTTGCGCAAATCCAACGAACCTGTACAGCATGTCCTAGCTGATTGCTCCTTTCCCCACCCTGTCTACAGTTAGTATACTCCTCTAGTTAGAGCCAGGGACAGTTCTCGATAGAAAGGGAGCGATGGAGCCAAGAAAGTATGCTTGTGGAGGACTTGGGCGCTGCACGAGCTGAGCCAACACAAGCAGACTGAAGAGGTCCATAGCTTGGTCTTCACACCCAGCTCTTGGGACTTTCCCTCTTGGTAGGGCTCACTGCTGTCTACTTGAACCCAAAGCTGTACAACCGCCCTTGGACTTCCCCAGTGCTGACATGCACCCCAGCAACTATAGAAGAAGGGTGACTCAACAGGCATCCTCTTCTAGGTAAATGACAGAGTGCAGTGGGGGTGGGTATACATGAATTATGAGGGTGATTAGGGGACTTCTGCCTGAATCCATCACCTGCCAACCTTTAATGCTTAATGAGGAAGCCCATATCCCACCAAGTAAACCATGTTCCACACTGTGTCATCTCTATCAAACAGATGACTCAAGGCTCACCACTGCCCTGCCATCTTCTCTCTCATTCTGGCTATACCATATTGATGCCTTTCTAAGTGCATGGCCATGCTGTAGTTAAGTTCTATTTTTGATCCTTTTTAACAAACGTGGAAATGAATGGCATGAAGTAGTACTAGTCCTGGGTCACAGACAGAAATGACAGGACTTGGGTACCATCCCAGTGCGGAACCCAGAACTCAGAACTATAGCCACCTGACTGTATAGCTGCTCCCTGGGCTCAGCTTTCTCCCTTGTTAGTGGTGTCTTTCTTGTCCCTTCTCCTCCTTTCCCCCTCTTAGCTAGTGCACCCCAACAGCCACCAACCCCAGGGCAGCTTCCATGCCTTCTTTGGATTCCTTGGGACAGTCTCAGGAGAAAATGCTGCAGTGCTTGGAATACTGACTTGCACAGCTTTGTCCTTAAACAAAGGACATAAAGGACACCTAGAGCCAACTATGAATTAAAGCTGTTTAATTAAGAAGAGTATACCAGACCCGGAAAGACAAATGCCATATTTTTCCTCCCCTTTGGGATTCTAGACATTATTATTCATGTGTGTATTATGTATGGGGTCGGGCTGTAGGTCATGAAATCAGAAAGGAGACTGTGAGAGGGGAAATAAAGAGGTCTTGGGAGGAGGGAACAAGAGATTAATAGGGTGCATGTGACATGAAAGAGAAATGGGGGATACTAGGAGGACGAAGAGAACAAGCTGGGTGGAGCCAAAGAGACAGGAGAGGGATGTTGGGGAGGGGCTACATGAAGATGCCATAAGGACCCCTATTACTTTGTATGCTAACTTAAACACACAAAACATTAAAATAATTAACAGGGTATATTATAAAGGCCTTAAAACAGTTATGTTTGATTAGCCAAAATATATAAAAAACCAGGAGGGTACACAATTCCTGTTAAACTAAATTGGATACTAACTTCCCCAAGCTGAAGTAAAATAAAGAGATGTTATTGTAAGTTAGGAGACCTCTATGAGTTGATCAATTTACTTAGTTAAAAATCTAAATCAATTAAAAACTAATAGCCATAAATGAATGCACGAGTCCTTAAGAGGTAGAAATTTTGAAGTCCAACTATTTACCTCAAGCAAGTGCTTTGAAATCTACCCTTAAATGAGTCCTCTGAAATACACACAACTTCTGTTTGCCCAGTGGTCAACATGTTGTGAAGTCATGTCCGCAAGCGCACAGAAAGGAAACCATGAAGTCTCCCTTCTGCTCATGTGCCAGGGCCAGAGCCAGTCAGAAAAGCTATTGCTTAGAAAAGTCAGGGCCAGGCCTAGTCAATGTTGACCAAGTGATCAGTGTTTATGTGAATGCCATATGCCCTACTTTCATGACAAACACAATGGAGAATTATAAGTCATTGGGACTGATGAGGACCTATGAGGCAATACTGGTTATAAGCCAGTTAGAGTTCAAATGTTCTTTAGATTCACATAAGCAGTATTATACATGGGATTTCAGGTACTTGATGAAGGAAGCAGAGTAGAGAACAGTGGTAAGTGGGCCTTTCTTTTGGGGGCCCAAAAGAAGTGAGGAGAGACCTGAAGACAAACACTGGTAAGACACAGGCCTTCCTGTAAGAGAGACCAGCCTTCTTGGGAAGAAAGGGGCCTGAGATTTGAGTTTAGGATTGGTTCCAAAAGGGGTCATGATATTAAAAAATAAAATGAAAATAAAAAACAGAGCTTTGGGATTCCAGATTCATCTTCCATTTTGGACAGAAGAGGACAGTGCAGAACCGATATGGTCCTCCAGATAAAATCTGAAAAGAGCTTGCAATGTGAGAGGCAGGAAGAAAGTTTGGGGAAGAAGACATGGGCCCAGCGAAACGAAAAACAAATGGGATTTGATTTGGTGGCTGGGTAGCCAAGAAGGCAGGACGTGGGATTAGGTTACAATATGGCTAGGGACAGTGAGATGTTCAGAAAGTAAATACACTTGACACCAAGCCTGACCACCCGATTTCAACCCCTAGGACCCACATGGTGGAAGGAGAGAACCAACTTCAACAAGTTGTCCTCTGACCTCTACTCATGCATCGCAACACATGTGCCCCCCCCCCAACATACACGGACATAAAATAAATAAGCAAAAATGTAAAACATTTGAAAACACCAAACTAGGGTATGACAGGAGATAGAGAAATGAAGGAAGAGGCACTGAAAGGAGCTAGAGGAGGTCAGAGTGGCTTATGGGACTAGGTGATACTCTACCCTGGACCACAGGCATGTAAGGTAGAATATTCATACAGGAATCTGGATCTGATAGGAGATTAAAACTTTAGTACTTTTAGAATTCTACAAAGCCAGTTTTTTTTTTTCTTTTCTGATCATTCTTTTTTTCTCATAAAATTTTAGGATTGAAACATGCAGCTACTTTGATATTTTCCAACACACAAGAACTGTGTACAGAACTCAAAATGTTCAGGCCTAAATCAAAAGGTGAGCACATGAGCAAGGGAGGGGTGGGGGGCACTACGTCCAAGGTTGCTTCAATCTGAACTTGTTCTGTTTCTGCCCCTTAATCATTTCAGAATCTCCTTTGCTGACCATGCAAATACATATGCTGATTGCCAAATGAGAATTGTGATTCCCAAGTATTCGACTGTTCTGACCAGGTTCTGGAAATCGGATGCTTCTGTAGAACCCTGTGTTTTAGCAACGACAACAACTCAGGACTGGAGAGATGGCTCAGTGGTTAAGTGCACATTACTGCTCTTCCAGGGGACCTGAGTTCAGTTCTCAGCACCCAAAACAGGTGGTTTACAACAGGCTGTAGCCCCAGCTCCAAGGGATCCTATGCCTTTTTCTGGCTTCCTAGGGGAATCTGAACATGTGTAGATATACATGCAAACACACACACACACACACACACACACACACACACACACCCACAAAAAAAATATAAACAA